TTAAGCACAAATGTCACAAGTGACTTACTTAATTTACTTACAATACATTTACTTAGTTTTTAAAGTACCTAGTTTTGGGGTGGGGGAAGAAGAGTTGAAGCCCGAAACATGCTACTCCATTTCTCCTCCCCTTTGCAAAGGGGAGGGGAAAAAAAAATACAGAATACAAGTTCCCTGCGGAGGGAAAGAGCACAAGGGAGGCCGCGAGGGAAAGAGCCCGATGGTCGAGCGGGAGTGGGGCGAGCTAAAGCGGGAGGTCGGGCTGCTCGGGGAGGGGGTGGGGATGCGGGCCCGGGCGGGCAGAAAGCCCTCCCGGGCAGCGCTCGCGTTCCCCCTTTTTTGAAGAGCCCTTAGTGACGAGGCTTGCCCCTGCCCCAGCCCCCTCCCTCCCTCCCTCCCTTCGCTCCCGTTCTTCTCTCTGCAGCGCATTTGGGCTTCGTCGGTCTTCCCCACCCACCCAGCCCTCGGATCGTCATCTGCTGCCCCTTCTGCCTTCGCTTCGGATCTTCACGGAAACTTACCCCCACCGCTTCGAATATTCCCTCGACTATTCTCTCTTGCTTCGGCTTTTGACCACGCCGTGAACTGCGTTTGGTATTCGATTCTCTTCCGACTGCACCCGGTCGATAGCTCACCGAACACCGTAGGCAACATTGTATATCCTACCACGATGACCGTTATGTTTCGACGAGGCTAGAAAGCCTTGTAAATTATTTGTGCGAGTACTCTGTTCCATGGGACTTAAGCAGGCGGCATACTCCCTATCTCATGTGGGAATTTTTTGAGTTCAGATCCATGGAGATTTTAGTTTAGTCGAGTTTTGAGCCAGTTGGGTGCTGGTGTCCACTCTAATCATTTGATGCATAACATTATGGAGTATATTGTTGCACATTTTGAAACTTGGCATATCTACTAAATCCGAAATATTTATTAAATTCATGAGTCAGATTGCATCATCCGTAATAGTCTAGATGGTTAGGATACCTGGCTTTCACCCAGGCGACCCGGGTTCGAGTCCCGGTTACGGAAATGCGGGGATAGCTCAGTTGGGAGAGCGTCAGACTGAAGATCTGAAGGTCGCGTGTTCGATCCACGCTTAACGCATTTTGATTTGCGATTTTGAAATTCTACGATTGGCAGGTGCTAGAGCATTGCAGGCTGCCATGAGGTACGTTAATTCCGTAGGGGATGGTTTTATGATTTAGTCAAAGCAACCAAAACAGGAATCCTTGTTCAAACAAGTTGCTGGTATGTTGTTGACTGTGAGGAATCCTATTTGCTACTTTTCTCCATTTAAAATAGCATTTGACAAAAATTTAATTAATAATGATTTATCTAACCAAATCGATCAAGTTTTAAGGGATAGATCGTAGGGTTTACAACATGATAGGTTTTGGAATGTGATCCATATACAGAAAAAAAAAGGAGCAATCTTTGTATGATAGATGTTATTATCAAACATATATTTGATTATATTTGATGTCATGATATTCAGCCTAAGTCGATCAATCCATCATCCAGACATAAAACTTATGGAAATAAAACTACGTATGATAAATACAAGTTTTTATGTTAAATATTGTAGATTTGCATAAGGTACAAAAAATTGGATGCAAAGATACATCAAGCAAGGAGAAACTGTGTTCCAATAAATTAAGGCTAACTAAGGAAAGTGTCATATATTATCTAAGATGTTTTAACTATCTAATGCAATAACCTATATAATCATAATATTTGAAAAATCATTATCATGATTAATCGTTTAATAATTACATCATCCAATATGAACTTTGTAGAGTATTTAATATATGATAGCAAAGATATGATTTTGTGATCTCAAGTTCACAAAAATGTCTAAACTTCAATCATACATATGTAATTAAATACTCTCAATGTACATAATTGTTTATTTAAAAGAATGAAAAGTCAATGAGTTAGACAAAATCTGCATTTGACATGTGTATTTATGACATGTGATTTTATAAAAATTATCACAATCCTACATTCATTTCTTGTATTTTTGAATAAAATATTGTATCTCATATAGAATAGAGTACATTGTAAATCATGCCAAGTCATTTAATTAATTATCATACATATGCATACTACTCAAGATGCAGATTAATAGATGCAAATGATTTTATTTTGATATTTTTATATTAAATATTAAAAAATTAATGCATAATTAAAATATTCAATTTTGATAAAAAATAAGAATTTGAATTTTTATTGATAATTTTTAATACAAGTAAATGAAAAAATAAAAATACTCATATTTTATACATATTTATATCATATATTAATACTTGTATGATGTTTGAATTTATTATTAATCCATAAAATAAATGTTAGATATCTATTTTATCTGAGATTACATAATAATATATGCATTCATGTGATCAATGATATGAAATTTATTACATTTTGAAATATTATATTTATTAAATATTTTATATTTTCAATTGTAATCACACATTGGAGATATAACAAGTGTACTTTTGGCAAAAAATAATACAAAACATTCATTTTTCAAAGTTAAGTTAAATTTGACATCTTTATGAAAAAAAATGTTTGTGCAATATTTTATGAAAATATGATCAAATGATTTTGAAATTTATAATTTTATCTGATTATTTTAATATTTTAATATCATAAAAAATAGATACTAAAATGCAATTTCTAAATAATTTTTATAATCTGAAAATTTTATACCAATTAAATGATAATGTGTAAGATTCATGCGGGTGTGAGGAAAAGTTATTGAGATTTGAGCGGGAAAAGATCAAACGAGAAGATTGGAAGTACCTTCTAGCTCAAGCACTGAGCAAAGTAATCACATAACTTTATCCTTCCGCGGTTAAGCAACTAGGAGATAATGAAAATTGTGAAAAATTGTTTAGACAACTTTTTTAACAGTATCATTACAAGTAGCTTTGAAATCATTTGCTTGCTTCCCTGAAATTGATTAACTTCAAGATGACGGATTCAAATGTCAAAATTCAAGATCATACTGATTACTTTCATGATCTTGCTTTGGATGTAGTTAATTTTGAAGAAGATCCAATTGATGATTAAGATAAAAATATCATTACATGTTGGAGTTGTGGCAAAGAAGGCCAAATGAAATAAAATTGCAAATTTAATTAAAAAATGTGATCATTGACATAGTAATTTTAAGCTTTCACATGCATGTCAAACTTTTCATCATGAACTTCATATATGTTATTAGAGACCAAAGATTTAATTTAATAACATATATTTCTGCTTCTCTTCCTCACAGGTGACATTTATTTAAGAAAATATAGGACTTCAAAATATTTCTCACTCAAAGGGATCAATGATGTTTATAATGTACAAGCTTTAAATCACCTACTCAAATCAAAGATAGATATCTATTGATTGTAAAGCATATTAATAATCTTTTCATGTGAATATCAATCTTAATGCTCCATTAGAAACATGATAATTGTGTATATTGACTGTATATTATATCAATTGAACTTTTTTCAAATAAGTATTCACATCTTAGAAATGAAGAAACAAAGTTATAAATCATGATGAGGTGTATATCATCATGGTGTTTTAAATAACTAATGCAAGTCAAATGGCTTTATATTCATGATTCACCTAGTAATTTAAGATTCATGCCAATTTCCATAATTTAATGAAAGTTAGGATCTACTAAGTGTCAATGTAAAGATTTATGACACTATCATTCTATTAAAATAGATTGAATACGCTAATGCTATGTCGAGGAAAAAAAATGATAAAAATGAAAAAAACCATGTTATATTTCAAGGACTGAAATACTATAAAGTATTACTAAAAAATAAAGTATTAAGCAACGTAATAGTTACAATCTTAAATCTATAATCATATAATATATCACGGAGGTTGAATCTTTTAGATATAATGTCCAAGCTGAAGAGATCTTGTGCATGTCCGTTTTATAAACATATATTTATAGAATATTATAAAGATATTTTTGATTGATGATGGTTATAAACATTTTGTTGACATTCAGATTAATGTATTACATGTAGAGCATAGATATTGATGAAACACAATGATCATTTCTTTGGTACATATCTCAAAAATTTAAATTATATATATAAATAATCATCAACAAATTACACATTTTTCTGAGTTCAAATAAGATAAGAGTAGTTTTAAGTGTTTATATAATAGAGAGAAAGAAGCATGACAAGAAATCTATCACACTGATGGTACAATGTTTTCGAATGAACACAAATATAATGAAGTTGAAGATTTTCCAAGGAAAAGTGTGATGGATAGTATCAAAGTTTTATATATATAAGATGAATTTGTAATTGTAACCATATATGTACAGCAATACTGATAAATTAGCTATTTGGTCAAGAACATGGCGTATCCCCATCGCTATACTCATGAATTTAAATGCTAAAATATTACGTTTAGAGGATCCATTTGCAAATCAATCGCGAGTGTTTACGAATTTCAGTTTCAACCACTCGCAGGGACTTCACAAGATACGTAGTACGAAAGTTTGTATACAGGTGTGCGACCGATATATGTGGCCTCTTTCTATCTCATGTAAGGAGCCAGCAATGTCAGTTTTGAAGGATGTACAAGTCTTCTGCCATGCAGGCTTACAGATGAGAACTCGTGATAGAACTCTAATGTACCACATAGACCCCGTGCAATAAAAATAGACTTCAACAGTGAAGATACTGGCAGCAGGTGACTTGATCTCCTCTAACAGATGATGGGTTTAACCTGTTCGTTATATACAGCATCTGTATGCGTTCTTGGAGAAATGATGCACTGAAATTGAAATTATCAAGAGACTTCAAAGTCCTCTTCCAGCTCTGCTGACTTGACGCAACATAAACACTACTTCGCACACCGACTGGGTCTCACATATCTACAGCACTTCAACCGGCGATCATGCAGTTGCATCATCATTCAAGGAGGCATGAACATCGATCGCAACACAGTCCGGCATAAAAATACAAGTTCGGGAAGAATTTTATAGATTGTGGTGTCGAAGGGCAGTGCCTTCACTTGGCCCATTTTGACATTCCACAGGTAAAAGATTATGAATCTGGAAAAGAATTATCTGCATATGGACTACTTTCTGTGATATGAGGAGATTGCCTACAACTCCACACCTCCCAAGAATAATGTAAGAAAAAGTCCTTCATTCATGACGCCTTCCAAGTCTAAGATGTGATGCGTTCGCCAATTCAGATCAAAAACTCCAAATTCACTTCGTTATACGAGCTAGTCCAGCACGGTAAGTAAAAACTCTAATGTAGGCGAAGTTCCTAAAGGCCGGCCTGCAAATTGCAAGCAATGTGTCCTAGAGAGCTACTTTAAACGGGTACGGGATCTGACTTTACAGGTACGGGAGCGTGCTCACCAACCTGGAAGGATACCCAAAGGGCAAACAGAGTCAGTATAGGAAACCACCGTTAATTCTATGAAAAAAGGTGGAAAGAAGGGAACGAAAATTTCCCGACATCCATACACATGAAGGATTAGAACTGATCAAACTATTGAGATTTTTCGTTCTATGAGGTCATTAAACACAACAGCCTTGTCATGAAAAGCGAACGGAATTGGAAAAGCAATGGAAGGTTCAAACCTTGGCAGACTTGAATAGCTCATCAAGCACCTCAGACAATGTTGGATGTGCGTGCACAGCGAACTTAATGTCCTGTTACAATGTGGACTTACTTTAGATTCCAAAAACTTTAACGTTACCTAAGAAGCTATCTAGATGGTCTGTAAAGTACTAGATTTTAAGACACATGCATTGCGTCGCTACTCTAAAGAATCAGCCACAATAGGGTCGGATGCGCATGTTCAACCTTGATAGAAGTGCCCATTGCGATAGCATTTGAAGCTTCATGAATAAGATCAGCTGCGTGCAACCCAAGAATGTGCACTCCCAGAATCTCTCCTGTATCTGGTCGATAAATTAGCTGCAAAGAAAGAGTTAACCAAATGTGTCAGATACTGACGGCGGTAGGCTACAGCTTTGAGTACTCATTTGAGCTTTCAGTCATACCTTGGCTATACCCTCTCCCTCGTTCTCGGCAAGAGCTTTGGTATTGGCCTTGAAGCTGGTCTTCGCTATAAGCACTTCAAAACCCTCATCTTCGGCTTTCTTCCTTGCTTGAGGCTGCACGGGACGACAATACCAGTCGCTAATTGAGGGACAGTCACAACAACCACTCAAGTTCGCTTAAATCCAAATGACACGACCTCAATCCCTCTATTCCATCTAAAATTCAACCGGAGTTCTTGGCGAAAGCAAAACTACATGAACGAAATGTGCAGTGAAGCTTGCAAACTTACTTCGGTAAGCCCAACCATACTGATTTCAGGATGAGTGAAACATGCGGCTGGTATGCTGAGATGGTTCAAGACGTTATCGTTATCTGCGATCTGCTCCACGACTGCATCACGAACGAACGGAAAAACATATTAAAAACCACCTGGCAGATAACAAAATGATCTCGATTAAGAACATGGTTAAGAAGAACTATCGTCGCTGCCCATACTGGCTGAGCTCAACGTTATATCCTCGACATTCCATGTTTCAACCACAGCGTATACGAATCAGAGCTTGAGCAAACGAACACAGCTTTCTTGACTTTGATTGAGTGTGTGGGTAGCTACTTAAGTATTCCACAGTCCAACAACCCTGTTTGAATTTACGTGGACTTCTTTTCATACATTCGTTCTCATATGAGTAGAAAATTCACCAGAAATTCCTTGAGCACTTGCAGCATGGGCCAACATCATCTTGCCGTTGGCATCTCCAATACAGAAAAGTCCACTTATCTGCAAGCAAAGGTGGATCACAAGAACAGAAGGATTAAGATGGAAAAGTTATCCCCAGAAGGAAGCAGAAAAACGCGGAAGTCGTAATCTATGACCTTCGCTCAACCAATTTAGAAACCATATTATGAACACATATTATAAAGGCACATCCTCGTGAGTACATGAGGATGCGCCTTCATGAACAAACAATACGTAGAACCCGCGCCAAAGCTGGGAAATGCTAGTGGTAGTGGTATAGATGTCAAAATGAAAATTTATTGGAACCATGAACTGAGTACTCACAACATTGCCCGCTGCATCCAGCACTCGCATTCGCTCATCAACAGGAACGAAACCACGCTGAGTCTCTACCTTGACCTTCAATCCCACGAGTCAACTTGTTGAGAAGTTTATACCTTTGACTGAATCAAGATAGCGCAAAAACTAGCGAACAGACAGAAACGAGATAGCCAGATTTGACACAAAACAGTTAATTGAAGTAAACACGCACCGTGTGACTGCGAAGAGCGACTAGAGTATGAAAGCCTAATTGTGAAATCAGTAAGGTCGGGCATACAGAAGCAATTTTGCATTCTAAGTTGCACTTCCGATTTGTACTTGTAGGTAGGATAAGAATAATACATTTTCCAATCCCAGTCCCTTGGTGAAGGGTGCTCTTCCGGTGGCAATAAGGGCGGCATCTACCTGCTCATAGCAATTACTTTCCAGTCAGTTTCAAAAACATTTGAAGTCTTTCCATCCTGAAGTTCTATCAGAGGTAGATGTAACATAAAAGACGAGATTACACAACTGACACAGTATAATTAACTCCAGTTATAAGCAGATCCTTCGGTGGCAATGAAAACCGGATCGTGACCTCACCTCCAGAACCTCCTTCGGCTCCTTTGTCTTGGTGTCTACGAGTTCAATGGTCACAGGTCTTCCATCTTTGGCAGGAGTAATCTGAAAACAAAAATCACAAGCCCACGTCAAATAACAGCGGTAATAAAGAGCAAGCTATTTAGAATTGTGAGAAAGTGATCACTTTAGTATTTCTCAAAGAAATGTTGGGTACGATTGTTCAGTAACCAACCTTCTTCGCTAACACACCAGTGTGCCAGTCGATCTTGCGAGGGTTGATGAGTACCCTCTGGGCCAGTTTCCCAATCTCGGGATCAAAACCTGGCATCAACCCATCGAGAGCTTCGATGAAGGTAACCTGCAAAAACAATCACAACAAGAGTTACATCGCCATTCTGGTTTAGTACGTTGATTGCGTTATTCAATTTTATCGCGAAATCTAATTTACTACAGATCAGCGATGAACTCCAGAAGGTGTGTATACATAAAACCTATGATCGGAAGTATTTCCGTCATAGCCAGAAGACCATAAACCCCGCTATATAGATGATGCTATACTTTTATCGTATAAAGAGATTGGTGCCACAAGTGTTTGAGAACAGAGATGTAAATCTGAAGTGTGTGACTTACTTCACTCCCTAGGGCGGTGTAGACATCGCTAAACTCCAGACCGATATAACCACTCCCTACGATAGCCAACCAGTCCGGAATCCACTCTAACTTCAGAGCATGGTCACTGGTGAAAACAGTCTTTCCTGCAAACCCCGAGTACAACATAAATAGGAGTTTTGTTAGCAAAAAAATCAAATCACGCTGACGTATGTTAAGCGAGTAACCAGAGACGACGTTCCAAGAAGCTATCTACCATTTACTGAATAAACTCCATTCATTTGTATGTGCCGTAGTGGACTGAAGACCATGGACCCCAAGTCCTGCGTGGGCGGCGCTAGTGTAAAAATTATGATGTCTTCGGAGACAGTAGGAGGATTAGGAGAGCAGGCCACTAGAGGGTCTTTACTTAGTGGGGTTTATCCCAGTGGATGAGAATACTCAAAGTCTCCATCTATCAGAAAAAAATCGTTTACTCACTCATCAACCTGATGATTCAGTAGTTATTAAAACGGCTAGTGTCTACTTCGGACTTTGGATCAAGATTAGCGACTCCTGCAATAGCTTGGACTCCACAAGAAGAGCGAGCTTCACACAAAATTTCGCTCGCAAATTGAGGTGCATTCCATCTATAAGTGAACAGAATCTAATAAAAAATTAGAACTTTACTTGCTTTATAAGAGCAGTGAGTATCTCAGAACTCCATACCGTCAATTTCAATGCCTGGGGGCACAAATGGAACGGAGCCAGTAGCAATGATGATGTTCTTGCCAGTGACGATTTTGTCGGGATATCCGATCTTGCCGTATTTGACCTTGTGCGGGGCCTGAACAGAAGGTGGACAGAACTGTGCTTATGAAAAATAATGATTTACACGCTTTTTCACACTAAAAAGATGAATTCTACAGCTACTGAAGACCACCAAAAGTAGAGGCAAGTGAGCCAAAGTGAAGAGTAGATGAAAACTATATCCCAAATTTTACCACGTCAGTATATAGCTCCCGAACTGAACCATCGTGTAAGCCTGATGTTCCCAGCGACGTGCATGTAAACCGAAATCCAGACGGGAAAGCATCTCTTATACAAGTAAATTTTCAAAATAATGTGGCAACCGTAACCTCTTCGGTAATCTTATAAAGTCGTGGTGAGTACAGGGACGTACTGTACCATGATAGTTCCAACACCAATCAATATATCTACTCCAAGTCCTTTCATTGAATTTGTCAAATTTCCACGAATTTTGGTTGCAAGATTGTCTGCATGCGCTGCAACGGCTGCCCGGTCAAATTTTGCTGCATCAACCTGCAAAGCAAACGCTGATTTATGTCCACAGTCCACTGCAGGATGGTTCAAAGTACTGCATTTACAATATGTGACCTGAGTTTTGGGGAAAAACTCAGGTCATATATTGACGGTCACATTCAGACGTACTATGTAACAGCTTTGTACCCAAGCATTTAACTTAGCTGTGTTGGAGATCTTGTATGGGCCTCAAAGGTAATTGTAACGAATTAAAATAGAAAAATGGAACATTTGAAAAGAATTAAAAAAACACCTGAATGCCGAGCGCCTTCAAATGGTGCTCATCTTGAAGCTCACGCATGCGACCACTCACGGCGAGCAATGCTTTGGAGGGGACGCAACCTCTGTTGACGCAAGTCCCGCCAACGATATCCCCTTCAATAATTGCTGTCTTCAGACCCTGCGTCCATAACACCCATCCGTGAGTAATTTTTGAGCTTCGCCAGCAAATATAACGGGAAAGATATCTATGCCACGACTCTAGAAACAGTCTAAATTGCAAGATTCCCAACCTACATTACAAAGGACTCAGCTGGACATTACAATTTCCACGCATTTTGAAGAGATTTTCCAAAATGGAAATGCAGTACAGCACTGTATTGGTTTATCCATGATTCACCTTCCTCTAAATGACTTGCGTAAAATGAACTTCTTCATGACACTCGAAATTAACTGCTGCCTCTAGAAGTCAGTAATACGCGAGGACAGAACCCGAACACTTTGTCATGCTTTTGCTTTCAACGTGTCCCATGGGAAGAATATCAGATTCATAAGCGGAATGCACATTACACACGGACAAGAACTAACATGTGGTGGCTGCATGCTAAACCTGATCGTTCTTCCCTCACATTTCTTGCTATGCATCGTGAGGTGTAGAATGAAAACAAAAGAATCGAGAGAGCAATGCAGACGGCGAACAAAATGTTGGAGAAAGATTGAGGTGCATGCAGAAATTCCAGGAAAGGCGCCAACCTTTTCGACCGCATGAAGGGCAGCACCATGACCTCCTACACCGGCACCGATGATGATCACATCGTAATCAAAGGATTGAGGCCCTCCATTTGCAGAAGCTTCCACTCTCAATTGTCTCAGATCCTTCCCGCTCTTCACAAGGCTGTGCCTCTTGCAGAATGGCGATGAGCTGGTTGAGTTTACTCCACAAGACCTCGAAAGGACGGCATTCTCCTTCCTCAGGCCTTGAAATCCAACCAGAGAAGCCTTGGCTGGTGCACTACACGCCCTTCGACTCAAGTCCAGCAGCGAGAGGGGCTGCACTACAGGGCTAGAAGCGAGAATGGCCGCTCCGGCAGCCATTATTCCTTCCGAGTAAATTTCAAATCCTCGCAATTTACAAAGGTCGGAATGACAACAAGGTGCTCCGCGCTCTCGATCTCACTCCCGAGAAATCGACTGCCGCTGCGCTCGTCCGCTCTTCGAAACCGACCTAGCTGATCTCCAGCCACGCGCTCAGCTCAGAGAGGCGAGATTCGACTGCTCTGCTCTCCGTCTCCCGGCAGCAGCAGCAGCAGAGTGTCCTTCTTCAGGGAATGGAAGCGATCGGAGCTCCCTAGGAATTCACGACGATCTCTGTCGTGTGTGAACGCGCCATCGGGATAAGCGTGCAATAAGTGGTCTCTAAGTGTTCCATCTCCTCGTCTCCGCTGCCCTCAATACAGTTACTGCCACTCTATCTTTAGACGTTTACAAGAACATGGGCAATTGATGAAGCATGCTACAAGAACAGCACGGGGAGGCCGGAGAGGAGAGTGAACCTCATTTCTTGCACCTTCGTGCTGCGGACGAGATCTTGAACGTACGAAGTGACGAATCGTGGAATCGAGATTCGGCAAAGCTTCAAGATTGATGGTGTAGTGTAATTCGATTACTGCCTCGTGGGATCACTTAACGAGCCGCGCTGATTTTTCCGGCAAAAGTGTGGAGAAGCGGTGTTCATCTTTCGTTGACGACTTCATCGATGTCGAGGAAAGAAATCCGCAATCAACCATGAAGTTAGATGCGAAGTTGGTACACCGGCCCAAGTGGCTAGCATCATTGAGGCCCTAAAAAGTGAACGAGCAAGATCGCCAAAGTGGATTAATTTCTTTCTTTTTTTCTTTTTTTCTTGCTTTCGTCGACGAGGGCAATGAATGGGAGAGACCAGTGGCCAGCCAAACCCCAATTCTATCCAGATTCTTTCATTCTCGTCACGCGCAGGTTAGCCATGCACGCATGCGTCGATCATCGCAACATTTCTCAAACATAGAAAAATCCCTGTCCCTTTGAACACGATGAGAACACGAACAGGAATTCTCCTCGATCACTTTTCGGGTTTGCCAAAGTGATGGAATTTGGTTCTTGAGAGGACGATACAATAACAACTTCTTCTTCTTCGTCTTCCTCTTGTAAAGTGGGACGGGAAATTTCAAAATCCACGATTAGAAGGTGAAGTGGGACGAGGCTTGTCATTTGCGGGCGGAGATTTCGGGGCCTAGGCCCGAGGCCTTCTATTCTATTCTGATCTGAGATCGTCGAGCTGCCAAGTGATCGGGACCACGTGGAACGGACACTGCAGATGCGCGCACCCAGATCGACGGCCCGGCCAATGTTCCAGCCCCTGCCCCTGCCCCAACCCCCAACCCCCAACCTCAAGCCCAAGCCCAAAGCCAACCCCAGGCCAGGCGGGGCAGGACCTGTGGTCAAAGTGGTACCCTCGGGGTTCGGAGTGCGATGGACTGTGACTGTCTGCTGCACACGGAGAGCCATGGACACACGAGGCTTGCTCACTTTTTCCTCCCACAAACAAACAATTCGGTCCCAAGGAGACCTTTCTGGTGTAACAAATATTCCAACCGACAGCATAGTGACGTGGAGAATCTTGGGTAAAATATATTCCATCCAGAAAGTGAGATTTTTTGAGATTGAGAACGTGGGTCTAGTCTTTGTAGAGAATTAAATCTTCAATATACCGAAGAATCTCATGAGTAAGTTGTTTGCGAGTTGGCTCAGACCATTGGATACTCGTGCTAAATCAAAAATTAAAAATACTAGGTACGGTTAATCAATATATGACTTAGAATTGTATAAGATACGGTTGTTGTCGATAACATGCAATATTTAACATGTGCCTGTTCTCAAGCATTGTGATAATTCATCTATCCACTGGTTTCAAGTATTGTTACCAATGATAACCGAGCTAGGATAGATCAATGTGAAAGTATGTCATATTGTTAGACATATTACTTTCATGATGTTATAAGTAATGATTTTTTTTGTGATATTTGTTACAGATTAAAATTCCTGAAACAAAATTTACCATTGATGTTATGTTGATTGTTGAAAGATTGATGGCATATTTAAGAATACTTAGTGTTGTTTAATCATAAAATCACAAAATTCGAGTATACTGCACAATTAGGTTGAAATATGATACTTCATTAAAAATTTTGAGTTCTAGCCAAATTTTAGTATGAATATGTGAAAGGATTCAAATTTATCAAGTACTTTGTATTTTTTTCCCACAAGTTTCATAAGAGATATCACAGAGAGAAAAAAGTTTCTTGTAGAGTAAAGTAAATACTATATATGAGAAATTAAAGAATAAACTGTTTGTGTCAGTCGTTTCCACACGTGTTCATCAAAGATTGTATTGGACAACCAGTCCTGTTCAAACCATGCTTGTAATGGGGAGAAAGTGTATGTTTGGCTTTCATTTCAGGTTGGTATGTGCTCTGTGTTAAGTGATGCGAAGACTACAAATCTGATCTTGGGCCCTACAATGCAGGATAATAAATTAGGGTAAGTTGACTAGAGTTGACGTGACCTTGGATCCTTTATTGACGTTTTGACGATACTATGGAGGGGTGTAGCCAGCTGGCAAGCTATGTATTGCAGTGATATGCGTGTGAAGAGAAGGGATGCAAGATAGGGGATGGACCTGGGAAGCTGGTTATCACACAACATGGATGCAAAGACTTTATGGCGGAAACAAAATTCTCTACACGGAACTATTCAATTACAAATCGAAGCATTTTACTGTCTCTCGAAAGATGAGATGCCCCGATACAGGTAAAACAGAAAGAGAAGCAAAGGCCGGAACGTACCAATCACACCTCTATTGATCAATTCTTTCCGCCAACAAAGAACTCAAAGCTCAAAAGCACCCTCCTGATATCGGTCAAGGCTGGTGGTCACAGTAAAATCACCTTGCCTACGTTTCTGTGATATATCAAATGATCAACTGGGGGCCGTCAAATAAATAACTCCAGACTCAGCAGTAATGTTGCATTCGGTAGCCTGAAAATCAGTGCGGAAGCAAGTTCAGATTCCTCTCACACTATCCCCACTGACCCACTTGCTCATGATAAACACATCTGCAACTATCATAGTCACATATGGGGTGTCACCGTACTGAACAGGTTGCTGCCTTGGGTCGTAGAGATTTAGACAGACAGCGACAAGGCGTTATTGAAGCATTCACAAAATAGTTCTCCCAGCTGAGAAAAGGCTGGCAGTGCCTCTAGTTGAAACTTAACATTTCTCCTAATCGATGTCAGGTTTCCAGAAAATATACATCCACCGATCGACGTTAAAAGCATGAAGTCAAAATCATTTAGTATGTCTTCTTTTGATCTCGAAGCTGAAAGAATCTTTCTCAGTGAAGCTATTAATTGTATGTACTCGAGTTTCTGCACATCGACATTGAAGAAGAGATAGCTTATTTGCTTGGAGATGAATCGACTCGCCGTCGCATTTTGTGTCCCAACGTCGGCTGCGCACAGTCTATAGGAGTTTCTCCTGCGAGAACAACTTAAATACGTCAGGACACAAGTCTATTTGAGCTCCTGTAACTGCTGCAACCTGATTCATCCCACCAGAATACGAACAAAGTCCACGAATATGATGGAGATCGCAAGTATTAACACAGGTGATAAGGCATCTTTCAACCTTTACCTTGAGCATTCTTGGCATTAACATTAGCTCCAGCATCCATAAGCATGAAAGTGATTTCAGTGAAGTTGAACATGGCAGCCTGGAACAAAACGAGTGAAGAACTCAGTTCAGAGTTTGACAAGAAAATAAGCTCAAATTACATTCAACCTGCTTCAACGTTGTGAACGTCAAATGACGAAAGTCATTTTTTATTTCCTCTTCTCTGATGTATACTGTGAAGCTGTCCAAACCTTTCAAACATCTCCGACTTACTGTCAGGATAATAAAACCTTCGCACCAAGGCTACAAATGATCACTTAAGTAAGATTTTACTTCGTTCTGAACAGCAAGTGAAGTGATATACCAGGTGAAGTAAAGACATTCCCTGTCGGTCAAAGTAGTTTGCATCCACTCCCTGAAATCACGTCGATTCAACCGTTATGACTAATACTTACGACGTTTATGATGTAAGAGGTTCATTGCGCCTGACAATACAATGGAAAAGTCCTTGACAGCTGTACATTGATACCACATGTATTAAGATTCGCAATGAGGATGCAGACACCAACATTATTTTTGCTCTATTCAAAGTGAACCGAAGTCATGCCTGTGAAAGTAACTCCTTCACCGCCGAAACGTCTCCATTCTTGACAGCCTCTCGTACTCCCTGTTGAAGAAAACAGGGTGAATACTAGCACCACCATCTACACACCTACTCAAGCAATTACCAAACTTGCTTTCAACCTCGACCCCAAAACCCTACACCTGCAAACAGATCGGCTTCACCACCGAGAACTACTGTATTGTGATTTGAGATCCTTACAGCTACAAGAAAGGAACTGAGAACAGGGAACAATTTCATAAATTTAATCTTCAGCATATCTAGACGAAGAAACATGAAGCCGAAAGGACAATACTCGCATGCCAGTCTCCAAGAACAAGCGTGTACCTCTCCATTCAGGTCATATGACTTAGAAAGAGGATGACTTCTCCCATGCATAGGCTGCCCGCTGGAGAAAAACAGACTGCAGTGAAACAAATGGATGACGAGTATTACAGAGTTGAAATGGCACGGAGAACAAAATATTCATGTGACCATGAAGAAAGAAGTCCGAAACTAACACAGCGAACAGTTTGGCGAACGATTTTCCGCATGTTCTCGGGTTCGTACAAAACTGCTGCCAGCCACGTACCTTGGCATGTTATTTCCCGAAGATGCTACAGCTGATGGCTTGAATGGCGAAGGAGAAGAAACACTCGGTAACTTCTTTGGCTTTTGCGAGACGTTAGGTTGAGGTGTAGAGATAACAGGGGCAACAACCTACAGCACATGTACTTCAAATTAGTATCTCGATGTGCTTACGTACCTTGACGAGAAAGTCCATAAAGAGAGTAGCTTTAAACCACGAGTAGGCGTTACGTAACCTACAGCATATGAACAGTTTTGATTATATACCTCAGGAGCAGAAGGAGCCTCACATATACACAGAGGCATCCCGCAAGTGCAGTTGAAATATTCTCCACTTGAGGTTTGAGTTGGTTCCTCTTCTTTAGACAAAAGATGACCATCTCGTTCCAAGTCAAGGTTTCTGAACTTTTTCTCCGTGTTTTCGATAGTTGCTGAAGTGGACGTCGTTGAGGCTGATCTGAAACCCATCAAAGTCATTGGATAATTTACATCTAATTATAACTACTGCGGAGATATATACGAAGCAATGTATGCTGCTCTGAAACTCAAGAGAGACAACAAATTAAATTCCTGGTTATGTGTGCATGTCAACTGGATACGGTGAAGCACCCAAAAACTCCTTCCATAGTCAAATAGTAGAAGAAAGAGTTCAATTTGAGCTAGCTGAATAAATACAATTTGTAAGGGAGAGACACAAACAACTAAGCTGCAATGAGTTTGGGTTGACATTGCAATACACGAAAAAAAATAACTTACTGCTTTGGTGGGTTGAAACACTCATCACAAACTCTCACAGGGGTGTAGAGACCATACTGCGGAATTGCCTACACAGCATGGAGACAACTTGGACATTCAGCTTCCATCCTGACAAAATGGTCAATGTCATATCTCTTGACACAAGCCTCCAGTGCAATACTGAGATCGATCATAACCAGCCATATCACCAATGCAGTTTGACCAAACACCGCTAGGAGACTCTTGTAACAACCGTTGGAAGTGCGTGACTATTTAACACACTTCGAGTGTTATGTAAGAGTTTAATTGCGAATACAAGAGTAGACGCAAAAAAGAACACTTCATTGGTCTTACGACGCACAATGATCTTGAAGATCCGTCCTTAACGTCTGAAGCCTAAGCTTTTGGAAGCTTGAGATAATATGAGCTTGTTGAATGAAATGACCCTGCACTAATGGTAATTTGTGCAGCTGCGCAGGCACTCATCGCAGGGACGACGCCTTCCCCTATTTCTGACCTGTAACTTTTGCTCCTAATATTGCAGTATCGACTATCTCAGACATATCTCCACCTTTGGCAATTAGTTCTTCTCAAATCACGACCGCAGATTTGACCAAAAAAGTGTGAATGCTCACAAACTAGGAACAGCCTATACGACAATCGTGTTTGAGTTAATGTCGAGATGTCCAAGCAAGGTAGTAGAGAGCTCAACGGCAAAATTTCCAAATACAATAATCACATTAGCAAGTCATGGATTCCTCTGCGTGCTAAATAAATAGCCACCGATGGGAACTCAACTCCCAAAAACAAAGGATTCTGAAATGAATGCTTGAACTCGAAAGCTTACCAGCGAAACGTGTACAGATCTACGTGCCACATACCTTCTGATTAGCCGAATGTTCGTTACAATAGCTACGACCGCAGTTCCGACAGTGATGCTGTAAAAAAAATCATAAAGCACAAGTTGAATTCATGTATCCAATATCAATGTGACCTTGCGTCGGACACAGTAAGACATTCCAGTCAATACAATGCACATGTGGTTATTTGACAGTACACAATTCTCAAATAAGCACACCATAACAGGAGTTCCTAGAGTTCTTGACCTCGTGCATTTTCCTGGTGACTGCATTCGATGCAAACTTGTAGTTTTGCAAACTTCCAGAGCTTATCCAACTCAAGAGCAAGCAAGGAAACCTATCAATTGCAGGTGATTTCGGATTGTTGCTTTGGTTACTGAATTCGTTAAAATGTTGAAAGATTTCTCGATTTTTTTTATTTAGAGATTGTTTCGCTGATGTGTCATAGAGTAAGAAACAGGAAAAATCGAAGCATTCTCGATCATACAGTCGAGAGAAAACTAATCAAGGATAAAGTCAGTTCCCAGAATATTCCAGCTAGCTCGCGAAGAGGAGCCAACTTGGACACAGAGGCAAACGAGGGGATTCTTTTCTCAGCTTCACATGCTTTACCACCAATGTGACTAGACCGCCCAACTATTGCAATGTGAACAAACCTTCTCAATACGCGCAAATCAGAAACAAAAACGCACTCCGCCCAAACCCGATCGTCGTGGTAGTGATTCCACTCTCAGATGAATCTCCGGAAAGAAAACATACCCGTCGCTTGAAGGTGGTGAACGATGCCAGACAGGTGACGCACTGGGCAGCTTCTTGAAACGGGGGAGGTTCCTCCATCGAGCTCCTTCGTCAGAGATGTGAGAAACTGGCCCGCCGAAGCACCCTCCGCTATCGCGGACAGTTGATTGCTGCTCACCTCGCCTCGACACAACAGCCGAGTTTGGATCGGCTACCCATACAAGCCAGAAAGAGGTGGCCCCACGCTGACGTTTGGTCGACAAGTTCACCTGAACTAAATTCTCGGATCTTTCTCCTGCTGTCGGGAGGCGGCATAAAAAAATCTCCACGCTTCTGCCGAACTCAAGCTCCCCGACTCTGACTCAAAGACAGCTCCATGAAACTTCTTTCCCGCCCGGCATCATCAATGCTCGGCGTCGACGACGGAGGCGAGAGTCCTCTATCTATATACCTCTCGCTCGCATGTTCGGCCAGCTACGGAATCCCGCTCGTAAATTCCAGTGTACTGTAATGTCTACGAGCCGATGCCGTCCTTCTCCTTGCAGCGATGAAGCGTTTTCGGCAATGTGTGCCCAAATGTGCGCGACCGCAACCCTGCTTTTGCTTTTGTTTCAACGGAGGTGCGGTTACTTCGAATGCACATGTCGTCCACGTTTCTTGTGTGGACCATTCTCAGGCCACAGAGCAGGAGCAGATTTGTTATTGGAATATTACATATTTCCTTTCCGGTGCACGAGGTTCACAAATGTCCACCATCATCGATCGAAGCTTAGGACTGAAAACCATCACATGCATGCACTCTTAACTTCAACACCATGAGCTTGATTGGAACTGCCGTCTAGACCATATTCAGAGTCTTGGTTTGGTTTGGTTTGGATTGGATTGGATTGGACGAGTCGCAATATATTCTTTATTAATGGTCCGAATTCACTTGAGCATGTGGTATTTTGATGATGGGCACTTTCGACCTCATTTAATTCTCAGAGTTCGGCAGTAGCGTTCGTCTCCGTCACTTATTAAGTCTTTCATTTCGGGAACATTTTTCTTTCGGTGTAACTTTATTAATGGATGGTGCTATGACTACTAGTTGTAAGTATGTAGCTTTCATTGCACATGTGAATAAGGACTACATCGAGACTGATTGCATGTTGCTCTTGCAGTGAGTGTGATTATCTGATGTGCAGATCAAACTGGAACTCGGATACTCGGATTTCTCCTTTAAAACTTCTGCATGGTATTTCTACCATGATTCAAAATGAGGGTGGTTGTGTGTGGTATTGATATGAACTAATGTTCTTCATATATAAAACACTATGCAATATTCTGCCTCATGATAAAACGTCACTCATTCTAAGGAGAGTATCAATTATGTTTTGGTTGTTCCTCTAGGTCTAGGATTTGACAGAATGATATCAAGTACATGGAAGTAATATCATGTACGAGAATTTAATACTTTTCATCCTGTTAAACATGGATGTGATGAATGTAAAAGGTTGTAAATTAACTTGTAATGTCGTATTTAAAAACTGAAAATTAATATTCAATTTTAGTCCTTCTTAACAAAATTTACTTGCTGTGTGAGGAGTATAATTTCACTTCTGTATGTTCCACAAGGTCCAAATTCCTAACGACACGAGTTCAGGTTTCTGGAATATCAGATGAGGAGAAAAAAGCATTCATCGTATAGTAAAGCGATGTGATTAATGTACAAGGTTGTGATTTAGCTTTACATATCATATTTCTAAATGTGAAATCAATATTTAAAAAAGCTTACTTATTGCGAAATGCATGTGGCAATAGTAGTTCGACTTCTGTCGTATTAAATCATATATCACGAATCTGTTACTTTTGAATGGTTCCACTTTGATATTAAGATTCTTTATACTTTGTAGTTACGAGCTCACTTCAAACGCGAGCATGGTATAGGCTCCGAGGAGGAAAGCAAGCGACAGTGGGATGTTATGAAAATGTTAGTTCATAATGTATGTTTTACCTGCATCCAAAGATATGATCAGTTTTGCACAGTGAATGACCCCGAGAGATCAAGATTTACAGTTATATTATAATTGTCTTCCTTTAGCAGTAGAATCAAAGGTCATACGATGGCTCCAGTTTGAACACTTGAATACAGATTTCGATCACTTCAGAAGATGTTAGACCAGTTATTGCGGCACTGGATGTAAGACATTTACTTGCTTTTTTCTATGTACTAGGAATTTCTTCCACTCAAGAAAAATACTGTAAAATTTCAAAGAATAACTTCCCCGCATGAAACTGTCAAACGTCATATTTCACAGATACAACCATGATGAATACATTATCCACAGAAGAATATTTCTTAATATTAACTAAATGTAGTTAAATTCAAACTTATCACAAGAAGATACTATGAATTTTGTACCTATGTTGATATCTCGATTTATAAAACACTTATCATTGATAAGTTTTCACTGATAAGTGTGATAGGATATCACTGTTACTTACAGACCAGTCTGGCATGTGGAGAAAGGGGTCGGCACACGTTGACTCCCTAGAAATGACGCATTTGTTTGTTGTATTTGTGGTTGAACAGTCTTTTTAAATCAAGGTCTCAATGAAGTCGTACAAATATTATAATTCTTCTCTACACAGAAAGATTACCCAAAGATATCAGATCATGCCTTGGAAGGTTAAGAGTCGAAACTCAGGTTTGTGCACCTCATTCATTTTCTGTTCAGTCTATACTCTTCTGTAATTTACATCAGAGACTTCTCACGCCCTATCCTTTCGTCTACGCTAGACGTATCCCGCTATATTTGTGATCCCCCGTAGAGAAGAGAATGCGGTAATGCTAAAGTGTAGCTGCAGATGACTGGTACATGGCCATCAGGAATACATTTCCGCCATATCTGCAATCTATAATTACGGTCCTGCTAAGGAAATCTTCAGAGGTACAACACAGCTGTTTTGCAAAGATGAGGTTAATGTACAAAAGTATCCAGATATCAAACACAGCTCATGCTGGAGATTTCAGATGAGCTTCAGCTCCCTACTGAATCTGGAAACGCCCTACCGACAGAACATCGCTATAATTTAGGTCTTCATTTGACTGTAGATCCAGGCTTAAAATTAGTCACTTTCGCAGCAGCTGGAGGTGACCTCAATAGCTGCTCTAAACTTTGAGGATCGCTTACAGGGGCAAGACAGGTAAAATTCTGACAAACATAAGCCAAAGCTTTTCCCTCGCGACTTCGCCTAGCCATGGCTAGGGCCATCGGATTATGGACTTTCCAAAACTCCTGGTCTACAGCATCAGTCTCGTCTATCTGCAAAATCTGCACACCGATGCCAATATCAGAGCTTGTCATCGAAACAGTACACTAACATCTATGAGTACCAAAAGTCGGTTCACATAAGGTAAATATAGGTCTCACCAAAGATAAGAAAAACACAGGAAATTGAAGATCAGGGCAAAACAGAAGAAACTCATCCAGTGAAAGTGAATCAAAAGCGCTGAACCGTACTATTTTGTCAGGGTCATAAGCTGAGTGGGCAGCGGTTACTAAGGCGTCTGTATCTGGAGCATGCTTTACACCGGCAATAACGATTTGTCGCTTTGATGGTCCAGCAAATGAGTCGAATGCACAGCACATTAGCGGTATTGCCATTGCTACTTCCCTAACTTTGGCCTCGAACACAGACTGCACACATCAATATCCGTTTCAAAATGAGGCAAGCTTCGAAGTGCCACATGTGACTGAACAAAACCGAATCATTACTTTTTGGGCATAAATGCATGATAAATCCCAAAGAGAAAGCGGCTCTTGTCTGGGATGTGAGGAAGATAGTTCTGGAAGGAAAATGCTCATCAATGTTATGCGGCAGGAATATCCTCGCAGTCATAACATGTGAAGTATGGAACTAGAAGATGCTGATAGAAAACGTAGTGACCGTACACCATACCATAAGATGTTCTGCGGTGCGATGAAATTGTTCAGACATGTCACCACTCAGAAGAGATGACAGCCGTAAAAGGTTGAGAGCAGCAACTGAGTTTCCAGATGGCTCAGCACCGTCATAATCCTCTTTTACCCGGAATAGGATAGAAGAATCTCCTTCTGCCGTACTGTAATAGCCACCCCCCACCTTATCCAAAAACTGATCATCCTGCACTCAATTAATTCGATGATACAACAACATCAGCATTCCGATGGAAATTTAATGTCACGTATTTAAAGGTTTTCAGGCCAACTCTGCAAAGGTGAACCACAGGGAATGATGATCTGCAGTAAGACTAAGAATTTCAACTTCTCAAAATAGGGCCAAACAATATCGCGCAAGTATGATGCACCTGTGCAGTTTGCAGTTCTAGGGCCCATGAAAGCCACTGTGTATCTCCACCCGCCTCATAGAGATCCAGAAGCCCATTGATGAGAAATGAATAGTCATCCAAGAATCCAGGGGCCACAGATGGCCTTTGACGGTAACTACGACAAAGACGCTTTGCTTTCTCGTCATAAAGTTTCGCTCGTATAAATGCAGCCGCTTTTTCTGCGGCATGAAGATACTCTTTTGGCTGCAAACCAAAACAACGAGACTTCACTACGAAGGGAGCAACAAGGTACTGTCTTAGCCGCAAAAGTCGAGTACTTACAGTCTCGAGGTCTGCCATCTAGTTCCAAAGATACACTAGTAGGAAGGTATTACGACATATTTGACACATCCAAGTGACTCTAATCGTATAATAGGTCACCAAATGAGGCAATGAGTTGATATACTTCGGTAAGAGTAGACTAAGGCAGCAAAGAACGATAAATTTGAGAAAGGCTGTAATAGATCATTTAAATTATGCCGTCCTTACCAGCCATCTGTTTGACGAAAAGAACACATGCAATCAGAAGAATATTGAGAACTTGAACTCGATTACAGAACTATAACAATGAAAGTCGTGCGGTATCCTTGCAGATTACTGAACACTTTAACATGGTGCTACCAAGGACTCCAACAGCTCTTATTACTACTTAACGGCATGTGCCTAAAGCAACACTTCAGCCATCTGCCATTTACGAAGTAAATACATAACGAATAGACTACATAACGAAACAGCTAGGTTTAGCCATGTGTTTTCAACTCTATGCCACTTTTCATCCCGGGACCACTAAACTTCATCCTTACGAACAAGAATCTTGCTTACTGGAGAGGCTCGAAGCTAGAGTAGCTATGTGTATGAATTTCACTTACATTACATCCAGTCACAGGGAAGTGATATTGCAGACCCTGTGGTTCCAGTCCCAAAATTCTGGAGGCGCGAGAAAATGCTGATATTGCTAGACCGTTCCAGGCAACAATGACCTGCAGTGATACCAAAGTGATAGAAGCAGAGGAAATTAAAGCTTTCCACATGCATAACGACATATAGACAAGCCTGCTAAACCTTAACGAACCTTGTTAGAACAATTGCCTTACTTTGAAGCTGATCAACCTCCTATTCCTCCAACACATATTCTTGATGATAATAGCCACAAATAGGAGGTTTGATGGCATAACGTTACCACTTTTGGGGGTAAGAGATACTCTTACACAACTTACAAGCCAGGAACTCTAAACATTGAAATAGCAACCTAAGGGCTTAAAATGCAAGGAAATCGAAGAGCACAGGCCCGGAACATGCAAGCAATACAGAACAGGCCCAAATAGATGGCATAGCATCCTCGGGATCAAAGTTACAGATTCAATGAGCATACGATCATGAAGTATCCAGAACAGAAGCCTACAAGTGAGTTGCCGAGAAGGGAAGCAATCAGCCACAATCTATGGAAGAAATGCACGGAAGAGGTATGCGATGAAACATAATCAAAAACACACACGAGTGCATACGCAATAACAGAACTAAGAGCGGTATGGTTCCAAGAATCCGAAACCATAGACCGTCAACGATATCTACCAGATGGCCTCACTCCCTCGTCACATAATTTCTTACAAGCTCCTGATCCGAATTTTGATGCCAAGTACTAAACTTCCAAATGACACTGATGTAGTTGCAACCACAATAGTTAATGATAGCTTGAATCAATCTGATGTGATGCACCTCAGAGCAATGCTGTATCAGAACGAGGATTGGATCAGCCTACCAAATTTCCGGCTTTAGACCAAGAAAAAAATACACAGCGCAAGTATTATACCTTATCATCCAGCTGTGGTGAAGGTCTTCTTTGCCTAAAAGCGTACAACTCTTCTCGACACTGTCCAATGATTTCGGCAAGGTCCTCCACAGAATGACCCACTTTTGCGGCTGTCTCCGCAAAACTTTTGCGTTCAATTAGGACATTCTTCCCTACGAATTCGTTATGAGGATCACTCATTCGTGATAGATCACAATTCCCATCGGGTTTGACGTAGTAATGAGTTGCAAAAACTGCTGCGCGCTCCTCACCAAGAACTTCCTCAATCTTTGCATCCATTACAAAAAACAGACATCCGATTCATGTTAACTTGAATGAGACACTAAAGTACTCGTTTTCTAAACGTCCGGAATTTGCCGGATCGGGGCCAAAGCAATCGATAAGAAGAATAAAACGTAGATGACGCATGATGACTGCAAGATTCTGAGGGCACATTTTCACTTGGGCACTCAAGAGGAGAAAATAACAAAAACCAAACCCGGTGCCACTTCCTTGACCACCGTTCATAACGTTTAAGAAAAATAACGCTGCGACTTTGCAGGCTAATGAGTTTCTTCATAGACACTCTATCACCTTACATTCCATACGGGAAATCGCTACAAACCTCTTGATTAGTCCACACATAAAACGCACCCTCTTTCTTTCTTGCAGCTCCTTCAAACTCTGCACTATCTGCATCTTCAGCGGAGAAGATGCCGCCATCGGCATGGGTCATCTCGCGTCGTAGGTAGTCTAATATATCACGTGCCACCAACGCATACTGAGTCTCCTTCCATATGACAAATGCATCCAGATACACATTCACCAGCTGCCCTTGATCATAGAGCATCTTCTCAAAATGTGGAACTGCACATTGACGAAAATGAAGGCAGTTAAAAAAGACAGCTTTGTCTTGATCGATTACACTGCTAACTTCGAAATGAATCATCCAACTTTTCTCGGCATAACAACGATCTCGTAAGCTTGCAGTACTGAGGCTGTAAGGCCAGAAAGGAGGTAAGAAACCGAACCATGCCAGTACTCGTCTACACTGTACCGATGAAAACCACCTCCTACATGATCATGAACTCCACCTCGTGCCATACATCGAAGACTAGAAAGTGCCATATCCAAGGCTTTATTGGCAGCTGTTTCTTTGCCACTCTGATCTAAACGCTTATATCGTTGAAGCATGACCGCAATCTCTACAGGTCGTGGAAACTTCGGTGGCAAACCGAAACCACCAAGCTTTGAGTCAAATCCTTTAGTGAGCTGCAGAGTAAATTCCAAGCAGTTTCAGAATTTCATTATGGACAGCCGCCACCTTTTCAAGATAAACTTTAAGATCAGCAGGCTTCAAGGAAAAGGATTGGATTTTCTCACATGCCACATGTAGCAACTGGAATACTAGTCAACATCGATACTATCATACGTTCTTAACTCAATCGAGGATAATTGCTAGAATTGAGAGAAACGCACACCAGACTAAGTGCACATAATACTAGAGGGTAAGAATATACGGGCAAAGACTACAGTCCTATCAATACACGAAAGCCATTTATGATACAACGTTGTGAGGAAATAAGCAACAGAAACTTAACACAAGACTAGAAGTTCAAACGAAGCTTGACCTGATTTGCACAAAGCTGAACTGCTTGTTGTGCAATTCCCTCCGGCAAATCCTGAGAAGTAGAGCTGGCGGAAGTGGCTTCTGCGAGTTGCTGAACAACCTGATCCCCAGCTTCCCGGAGAGCATCCTTTTTGGTTGCCCAAACTTCCTTCACGCGTCTGATCAAAAAATCCACTTCGTTAGCAGTTTTCAAGTTTGCACTTACTGAGCTCTAGATATATCATATTCCTCAAGTCAGCAACCCCCTTCCGTAAAATGAATCCAGTATCTGCAGTAAAAAATATACAATATTTTTCCAACACCAAAGCAAAAGAGATGGGAGAAAGGAAAGAAGAAATTTAACAGAAACTACCGATATATATAGATAACAAGACCAAGTACAAGAACTCGGTACGGGCCTTTCTGGGGTTTGTGAATTACACAAAATCTACCGATGTGCAGTTCCTTTGTGGAGCCTAACACACCAGGTTAATTACGAAGTAACAGTAGGGGTCAGTCAGGTCTTTCAACACAGCTGCCCTCAGAACCGTACGTGAGGTTCGAGCAGTTCGAACCCCTAACGGAAGACCTGACGTAAGTTTTTAAGGGATGTGAGAGTGGCCCTTGTAAGTAGAAACTTCATAAAGAGTTATTAGGCGAAGTCGTGCTGTTTAAAATTAATCATAAACTGCTCCGAGAAGTTTAGGATTGAAATTGAACTTTCTAAGCGAACAATATGTCAACACTATACAAAATCGAGTGCAAGTAGTCAATACGAGCGGTAGGTCACAACCAAGTGAGCGTGCATCTATCTGCTACCGCTACCGCTTCCGCTTCTACCGCTCCGACTCAGTATGAGCGGTAGAAGCTTAAAACAATTAAATATTACAGTATGTGTCCTTCCCTCTTGGTATAAATGTTTGTATTCCAATATTCGACATTTGTTATCATGTATGCCTTCAGGACTTCTTTGTACCATATACATCCCTTCACATGCTGATTATCGAAATCCCAACAATTCACAAAATTAGGCTTTCTTCCTCTGTCCAGGTGACGGAAAAAGACCTACTTCAGCACTGTCTTGAAGCCAGGTCTCCCGTATTTGTCTTCTGGAGCGAAATACGTGCCTCCCACGATGGGCTTGAGATCTGGTGTAAGAAACACACTCATAGGCCATCCACCTCCACCTTGGGTTGCTTGAACGTAGGTCATGTATACCTGTCACTTGCAATTCCATGAAGAATCAAATCAATAGTTAAAAAACTTGTTCTCAAACTAGACCCTTATGAATCCAGTTGTAAAAGCACTTAGCAGTGGGGTGTTTCCTAGAAAAAAAACATTCAAAATTCAGATTGTACCTTGTCAACATCTGGCCGCTCCTCTCTATCAACCTGGAATGAGGAGGCAAATCAACGTATGTTTAAAAATGTTGCCGAGATATGTGGAACACTTCAAGGTGCACCTATAGCCGTGCCTGCAGATCACGTACTTTGAGCCTACGTAGAGCATTCATAGGACAAGGCTACACCTCACTCCTGTAACCGATCGTCGTATTTACCTTGATATTTACAAACCACTCGTTCATAAGGTTTGCGACCTGTTCATTTTCAAAAGACTCCACCTCCATGACATGACACCTGTTCAAATGAGGACGATAAAAAGGTTGGTGTTGTACAGATCATCCAGTGCATTTAAAAAGAATTCTCTGAGCAGAATAAATCAGTTAACGGGTACAAATGGAAGACATCACAATATCATGTTTGAATTCTACAGACTTTAACTTCCATCTAGACCTTCATACTCACAAGCGCTTCACAACAGACTTTTGCACGCTACTTGCAGCAACTGGTGAACTAAAATTTGAACAGCCTAGAAGTGGGTACATTATACGCACCAATGGCAGGTGCTATAGCCCACTTCAGATGCGACGGCCCCAATTTCACAACAGAACAACATGAACTCCATCAGTGTCAATCTTTTTATGTCAGTGATACATTTTCTTTACAAGAATTGTGTAGGAGCTTCAAACCTCGACTTCATGCTGTAAAGGGAGCAAGTACCGGGAATCTAGTTACAGAAACCAATGTGTTGACCATTACTACCTGATAAGAAAATTGGCTTGTCTTCTGCAAGTGCCTTCGAAAATGCCTCCTGGCCCCATGGAAACCAGTCCACCTAGGAAGACATAAGAAGCCTCAGTTTGTAAAGTTTCAGGTTCTAAAGAACGCACGATGGACCATCTGCTTCTCCAAGATAATTACTGGAGGAGCTGAAACACGAAAAATATGAAGATGAATGGATATGGAGTAAAAGAATATTTCAATATTTGTGAACGAATCTCCAGAGAAAAAGCCGAATCAACTCAACATACAGAAATCCAACAAAAGAACCAAAACCTAGACGGCGCCAGATTTGATGGTAGGTAGAACATGCAGAACGTCCGACTACAATAGAGGAAAAACTGAAGAAGCTTCTAAGATAATGCATAACCAAGCCATTTGTATCCACTCGACTAAAAGCAGTATAATGTTCGGATAAATCTCTTTGACAATTGTACAGATCCATCCACCACAATGAGTGCTTAAGCAACAACAGGATCAGAAAATATCGTACATCAGTGATGCCACATCGACCAGACTCGAAACAGAACTTACTATAGCTCAGTAAACCTTTTGAAATCACTCATTCAAGAGTCACCTCGAGGCGAAATGTGGATGCAAACAGATTGGTTACTAGCAGTGTTGTTCCGACAGCAGGGTTTGAGAGGTGACAAACCAACTCACACATATTTCAACGATGCTACACTCTATCCACACTTGGGTTCTCAATAATATTCATTTGAACCATTTCCAGCTGCGCGTGTACACAGTGAGGGACAGCTGCTGACGCTGAGAACGCAGCAGCAGCACGAGAATAATAAAAAAATTCTTAGACAGGAATGGCATTTCGGCACAATTGAACGGAAAAAATTCGTACCGGATTACGGGCGTGCTGCAGAAGGTACGGGCTCTGCTCTTTGCTCAGCCTATTGGTAAACTTGTGAACGACACCTCCATCCGCAGTCCCGTCGTCGCCTCTCATGTTCGATTGCGCTCGTACTGTTGATCTGTTCGGCGATTGCTGACGGAAACTCGGGTCCGACAGGCCTGAAGATCGAAGCCCTCCCGCGGCAGCTTCGAGAGGAGTTCGAATCGGCAGCGCGTTCTTGCCCAGAGAATGCGAGAAGCGATCGCGCGTATGAAATGCTCGGAGAACGAACTTTACACGCACAGAGTCGCAACGAGCAATGTTGCAAAACATCGCATGCCCGACATGAAAAGCTTCGGAGGTGTGGATGCTCGACGTGGAGTCGAATTTGATGCGCTGTGCTCTGCGAGCCCCAGAAAAGCTGCCCCTTCGATCAAATTCGAACTGAATAATATTGGACTTGGCGCAAGGCGTTAGCGCGTCCACATGGCTTCGGTTTCCTGGCCACCTTTCAGCTGGCATTCCTTCTCGCCATTGGGCCCGAATAAAGCCGCGAGCCCTTGTGCATATCCAAACCATATTCTCCATAATATGCATGCTTCAAAAGTTCTGTATTGAATTATTCTGGAATTATTCGCCGTACAGTATTCTAGTACTTTATACCACTTCAGTGATGAGAACAAAATTGTCTTCTAAATTATATGGAACATAGTTCAATATTATATATTAATAGATCATACAAGAAATAATCGGATACATTTACGTTCTGTTCTTTTAGAAATTTAGATCAGAATTAATTTTGATAGATGGAATTTGCATAGATTATGAAAAACGTTGAACAAAATCCTCATCTTAGCTAGCTTATTTTTTTTTTTAATTACTGACAGATGCATATAAATATTCATAAGAAATACAACCATACAACAATAGCTAAACATCAACTTTTGAATATTTGAAGATACACCTTATAAATTCGAATACGTATATCCAAGAAATTGTTTCTTGAAAGGTTTTCCATTTCTGTTGATTTTACGATGTTCACATCTTTGATCACTATGGCTACATTTTTTGAATACTTTTTATTACATTTTTTGGAAGTAATCACACACTATTTTAGATATTTGAATCAAATTAATTTTTAATATTTTGAATCTTCATATTAATATGTATAAAATTCATTCAAACATACTTCATGAAAAATTATTGAAGAGTTTTCCAGTGTATAAAATTTTGAATTTTTACACAATCTTCACAAAACATTTTCTTGTAGCTGATTCCAGCCCATAAAATTTAAATTCAAAATGATTACTTTTCATTTACATATTACATAAAGATTGCAGATAACAAAAATTTTTTATACACGTTCTGCATTTCCTTTACTTTTGAAGAAATAAAAAGGAGATTATATTTCAAAAAAATAGTAATTTGAAAGAAAATATAATTTGTTGCAACTTTTGATAAATTTACTTGATATGAATGTAACATCATACAAAACATGATGTGTGCTTTCAGAATTAAGATAAAAAATATCATGAATTGATAAAGATAAGATGAAACAAAAAATTCATTTGTGATGGTTCAAATAAAATTTATCACATTTTTTATATGAACATGTATTATTTCTGGCTGAAAGTAAATCAAAATCATCAATTGTGACACTGAAGCAAATTTAAGTACATATATGTAGATTAAATTTTCAACATAATAATTTAATTTTAATCTTAAATATTCTATTTAGTAGATACATAGAAGAAAACCTTTCAAACTTTATTTTAAAACTAATTCAATGCATCAAAAATTTTAATATATTATTTAAAAAAATAATTAAAGGAAGGGATAAAAAATATAAATAATAAAAATAAGGAGAATAAAAATTCTAAAATTTCGTTCAAAAAAATTTATAATAAAATATTGAATTTTCTCTAAAACATATTATAATCTGTTAAAAAATATCAAAATTCATTTGATTCAAAACTGTCATGAGTTTATGTTACTATGCCAGATACATATCAAATCAATATCCCGTACATTCTTCTATTTTAAGTTAATATGTAACTAAAATTTAATAATATTTTTTAAAAAGACAGATTCTGAATTTGAAAATTCAAATAAATCTCAAGATAAATTAAATTAAAAAATACTAAGTATTTTAATTTGATAATGTTGAATAATAAATCAACAGAGTTCCGCAGCACAGAAATATTTATTATCTAAAAAATAATGATATTCATAAAATTTATTTACTAGATCCAACCTATGCTATTTTGAAATTTCCTTAAAGTATTGAATCTACGAAGTTGTTACTTCTGATACAAGATGAACAGTTCGTGGGTGTTTTTTGTCACTTATTTGAATATCTGATATAAATTCAAATAATTTCTTTATTACATTTTTGAACATCATGATACTTGGAGTTATCTCTGAGCTTGTTAAGGGAAAAATTGATCTTTTATTATAATCAGTACTAAAGACAGAAGTATAAATTGAAATATTGAAGAAAACTTTATGGATAATACAATAGTAATGAAGATGTCAAAGCAATCAAATGTTTAAAGATTTGTTTTCAATATACATTTCAATCCTTAATATAGCAAGTAGCCAGTTTTGCAAGATACATCCTTTGCGGGCCGTCTTGATATTGAAAGATTAGAAGAGAATTGAGTTAGATGATAAGTCAATTATAACAAATTGTAATGACATATAATATTTTAGTATCTCAAGTGTTTACATAGTGTTCCACCTTCCATGATGATACTTTCACTAAAGCTTGTGACATTTTAGTTTTAGAGTGTTTATAGAGTGCTCCATTGTCCATGATGAAACTTTCCCTTATATATAGAGATATTTGTTTGATTGTATGACATCAAAACTTAAATTGCTTGATGGGATCCATCAAGTTTCAATTTATCTTACGGCACACCTTCGGTGAATTCTAATACGCGTTCTAGTATGGGTATATTCTTGTACAAATGAGTTCTACTTCGTGTTTCTGCAATTGCTTCGATGAATTCTAATACGCGTTCTAGTATGGGTATATTCTTGTACAAATGAGTTCTACTTCGTGTTTCTGCAATTACTTCGACGACGTGCCACTGGAGTTTTAACAAAACTGGATATGCTCTCGCCCACAAGATTTCACTACTCAACTGAATTTATCTAAGCTTATGGACACGAAGGCTTGCACTGGAGTTTTAACAAAATTGGATATGCTCTCGCCCACAAGATTTCACCACTCAACTGAATTTATCTAAGCTTATGGACACGAAGGCTTGCACTCGCGTTCAAAAAACAATATGCACATAGAAAAGAATTGGAGAAATCATTTTCGGATGGCAATACACCTTCCACCTCCAATAATTGTGAGTATTTTAGTCATAACATCAAATTTATACTCCAACGAATCTACAGCACCAGAATCCCACAATGAAATTTTCTGCTCACATGAGTTGATGAGAACAAATTCCATCATGCTCTCTGTAAGACCTAATTTGACGGTGACATGAACCGTTAGAGGTCCCTTCGGGCAGATTGAAAGTTGATAGGTCCCATTACACAACTTACATTTCGTTGGGGTCCCGCCACGTAAATAATTCCTATCATCTTTCTACCGTTGAACATGATAGGAGCTTGGTGTGCTTACTTTGACTTGGCTTGTGCAGTGTGTTCATGTTCCAATTCCACAAGTTAGTAAGAGAATTTCAAATCATATTACATACAAGTCAGTTTCTGGACTTGGCTATCTCAAAATGTGAGTTATAGTTCCGTGGATGTTTTCTATTCATTCGGTATGCGTTAAAGTTAGGCCTTGGGTATCTTTCTTGGACGGCGCTACTGATTTGCAGATTGATACTGCGTCTTCACGTACACACTTGTGATATTCCCGTACTATGCTATGACCAAATTAGTTCCAATATCTACATTTAACTCGCCTTCAGTCAAATTTCCGCGTTCAAAATATAAGTGTTACGAATACCCACTCCTCGAATGACGTAGTCCGAGTCTGAGATGGTTTTTTTACAACTGGCCCAAACATCGAGGTGGAAGTCATACGTAAGAGAGGTTGAAACTGCGGATTCACTCTGCCAACGCTGTTTGCAACCTTAATTGTAGGACCACTAAGCTGGATTTTAAAACGTGAAATTAGGGGCTGTCTGCAGCTCCAACCTTCGCCGTGTTCAAGCGTGCCCATAGTAGATGTGTGATTGGCAGAGTCGTGCAACTCCCCATTCGATCGCACGGAACGTCTTCTGAGTTCCAAGTGCCAGAGGTTGAGCTGAGGGACTCAATTGCAGCAAGAAACAGTTGAGTTAAGTACAAAGAAGACTGCATGTTTAAACTGGCGGAACCGAGAACACTGATCTGCATTGCCCACGTCCCTGTAGAACGATCGAAAGATACAGACTGATCCACACCAGAGTGTGCACCAAGTCAGCAAACGTCAAGGCCTCTTGCGGAAGGATGCAGCAGTTAATAATCGGAGTTCCACAATTCAATCTCAACAAGTACCGAGAAAAAAATTTCTTGCTAATGATAAGTTCACACAACGAAGTCGTTTAGTACCGTCAAGCTCATGATGTACGCCGTCGGCCTCTCAAGTTTTATAATGCGATAGCCCTGGGACAAAAACAACTTTTTCGACCGGTAGCTTCCATTAATTACATCCCATCTGCTCTCTAGATAGGAGCTTCTAATGACAAATTACTGTCCTACAAATTGTTTTAACAAAACTTTTCCTTCAGGACGCCTGAAGGCAAATGGAACTGGTTCATACATGCATAACTCCTGCCCTTTGTCCACTCTAGTTCTCGGTTTGCTCCCTCAGCCTCCTGATGGTACTGCGTACCGTAACAGCAGAGGCGGTACTGCGTCAACAAAACACGACGATGAGGTTAGTGGAAATGCTCCAGTATACGGTTCACGTTTGACAATCATTTAAAATAATAAAAGCTTGCGGGAACACGACACTTACTTCAAAGTGTAAGCTCCTCCAGCCTTCACCTTTCCACAATCCTTACAATTCCAGATACCAACTGCCTTTCTCTTCACGGCAAACTGTAAAACCAAACGAGAACAAATTGAGTTTTCAAGTGAAGCTCCTTCAATCCAAGCGAATTAGAGATGAAAACATCAAACGTCATTGAGAGGTAAAGGACGGCTAAACTCACCTTGCCACAAAACTCGCAGAAATACTTGGAGTGCTGGCTAACCTCCATCTTCTTAATCTGCTTCCTCAAACTCGCACCATACCTGGTACCTGAAACCCAAGGGGATTCATTTCAATATGCGTGCCACAAGTTGAGTGGTGTGCCACTAAACTACGATGTACGAACTCGTACTGACTAAGCTTAGTAATACAATTGAAAATCGAAGTTTCGTGGCCTCGCCAGAAACAGGCAGTTTCTCAAAAAATATCAAGCTGCTTCCGAAGGAAATCCAGATTTACATCATCACCCTTCACGTCACTAACGCAGATTTGGAAAACCGGTATCAGAGGCTTGCAAGTAGATCATAACAGATGGTTTAGAGAAAGGGTTTGATATTCGAAATTACACATACCGTATTTGCCGACGATTCCGGCCTTCTTGGTACGCTTGGTCTGCCCAACAGTACAGCCAATCAATTAAAAAACTAAGTCCTCACATAAAAACATACCCTCTTTTCCATCGTAAGATAAGAAGACAGTCATGATTTCCAGACTTAGTATCGTTCACCATAGTACTTTCATAATCAAATATGACTGCAAGGGAGTTCCTGGACACCGAAGAAGCAGGAAACAATTGCGAACTGAACACTTGAGCGTGAGCGAAATCTAAACTGCGACTGCGCGTTGAGAAGGGTGTTCACCAACTTTCATGTGGTTAACCTAATTCCTAAAATCCATGTCTGTCTATGACTGCAGACAATATATGGATTTGCTATCAATGTAGAGAGAGGACGCTCATACACTGTCGTAGATAATTAATGATCAACGCGAATTGCTGCGAATAGAATGGTTTCTTGGACTAGCCATGTTTCTTTCGCCATGTCTGTCTGTTGCGATATAAATTTTTCGAGGTGAAAATCGTGATGATGAAGGTCAGAAAAAAACCTAAAAGCTAGACATTGAACAAATCGGAGAAAACCCTAATCCCCAAAACAAAAACATTGCCGTACGTTCGCGAGGAGATACTAACAAATGCAAAAAACACTTGGTTCTATCAATGTACAGCTGGATTCGTACGCTTCAGAGATGTTCACAAATCCTCACACGACGAGCAGGAAGTTACTCCCAGCCCAAGAGCAACACGACCAAGAATAGAGAGATTTGAGATTCATTCACGGCCATACTGTACTGGAAAGATTGAACCCAACTTTTTCAGATAAGAACGATAACACCCGCGGAATGTACCAAATCGACCACCTGAACCAACCCAGGCCAAAAAAATCTTTGAGCCAAACATTCACACAACATTCCATAGCGAGAGAATGCATACCATGTTTACGGGATGCGGGGAACAGCGAGAAAACTCGCAGAATTGAACGACACGAGGTGCGTATCGGAAGAGCAGCAGCGCCGCAGAGCTCCGATTCTCCGATGGACAGTCGAAAAGGAAAGGCTCGAGAGCACAGAGGGTTACTAACACCGTGTGGCGAAACGACCTGTAGGGTTTCGCCAACTCCGACTAACGGACCTTCTGTACGTCGCCACGTCTCTCCGCTAACTTAGAACTGGCGAAACTCCGCTCGGATGGTGGACTTCGTGCCCTAACCTAGACCGGACAACAGCTCCCGTCGTTCGTTGCGCCGGTTTGGAGAGCTTTACAGTGTGAGTGAATTTGGCGGCTTTCTCGCTGCGGCCAAACTCGGAAACCTCCGCTAGATCTAGTCTATCACCGATGGCCATGCTTTGTTACTCAACATGGTTCGGAGAGAGTTATCACCAAGATACAGGTTTTATTTTTTATCATGTGAATTATATTCTTGTTTCGTTTGGATAGTATTGTTTACTTGCAATAATTTTTTATGTCTTCACTTCATATTATCGTTAGTAATAGAACTAAATTTCATAGTGGTTTAATATTGATAGGAATGAACCTTTTTATAGATTATGTGATTCGGCCTATTGAAAATGAATAATATGTATTTCTTAATTATCCTAGTTACGAAGAGATTAGGCTTGCTCATAATGCATGTGTGGAGAAATACTATCTTTTATTACAGTTAGTTTGTTTTGATTTAGGTTTTTATATCAATGACATCATTAGTTCAAGTTCTAGTGTTTTTGGCATTGGCAGGAATTGATCTTTGGGGTATTTTCACTTGTTTGTGATTTTTGGCTTATCTTGCATTTTTCAGGCTTGTGAACCTTTGGCTTCCCTTAACTTGATCTAGTACCACTTGCCGTTTACTATATTCAGCGCGGAGTCCAACTCCCAAACGAGGCCAATTGGCGCATTCTAGGAAAAAGCGATTATTGCGCCTGCTTCAAACTCTAAACCTTCGGACACTTTTATCCTTGTCACCTGATACATGAAAACAACAGAAGTTTGATAGCTTTTAAAACATAACCTTATTTTGGTGAAGATAAAACCACTTTAGTTGATGATTAATTTATGATGACACGTAAAAAAACACAACTTTTATTGTAAATGTATGTTCAGTTATCAAATGACCCCAAACAAATAACAAGCAGTTTTGGATGAGCAACTGGACTGAACATTAGGATTATATTCAGTACAACAAGATTTCAATTTCAAAGTGAAATCAAGTTCATAATCAATAGGCGCTAAATTATATGTCTAGAAAGAAATTATACGGTTTGCAAGTTAAAAGTTCTATTTCCCTTCCTCGAATGCTAGCACAAGTCACAATTTCCACATGCTAATTTGTCCTTCAAATTTAGTGAATATTATTATGAAATTAGTCTATAAATATATCGCAATCCAGCTTGAACTTTATCCAAGTTCAAAATTACAACTCCCTTTTGAAAAGTAATAATAGCTACATTTGAATTTCTACAATATAATAAGCATTCCTATCATAAAAACTAGAGATATTTCAATTCAACTTGTTAATACTATGGCCAACAACAATCTTTGGCAATGATGATGTTTCTCAAAGACAAACTTGCTACTTTGAAAGTTTTGCTCTTTCTTCATCATTTCATAACTCCTTAAAATACAACATCAAACTCTTGTCTATATATCTTGTGGTCTTGCAATGATCAATCAATGCTTGATCATCCAAAGCAAAATTGATCATAATTTTCTTCATCAATATTATAATATCATTTAGTTTCAAATTTTTTAACTTGAAATTTTCTTTTATTTAAATTCTACCCATCTTTGTCATCATACTAAGTATTTTATTGTTATAAAAAATTAATTATTGCAGATTTTAAAATTATGTAACTTTTAATTTAAGCTTTAATGATTTTATTTATTATTTTAATAGTATCAGCTCAATATTGTATATAATTTAAATAAAATTATATAAAATTAAACACCTCTCTAAACTACTATCAAGTGTATTTCATTTATAGTTGATATTTATTCACTTCTTATCATGGTTAAAGTAACATACATGAAGTATCAAACATGTTTTTTCCTCCAACTACCTTCAAACAATATATACTCTAATCATTATATGCTTCAATTATCTTAAAAATCTCTTTACAAGGAATAGATGTGTAGGTTGTAAATCAAATATTGTAATCTTTTATGCAAATCGCTTTGAAAATCAATGGATATCAAAATACCATTTACATGGAGATGGATGTATGAATATTGTCGAGCACTAGAAGTCTTCAAATTACAATATAAAATCTCATAACTCAGTTTTTATCTTCATACTTGAATTTCAAGGAGAAGTGCAAGTGAAAATTTTTACACTCCTAGGTTTGTAATGTATAAGAAAATAGCTATATAATGAAACAATCTAATCAAAACAAATCTTGTTTGATTCATAAGTTTTATCAATAGCATAGATGACATCTTAGACTTTCTTTGCTCTATGAAGCGCAATCATGCCAACTCATGTGTATCTTATGTTGATCAAAAATCAAATCATGAATAAATCATGTGATTATGTCTAGGTTAAATGGTTTTTATCTAATTGGACTTGTACTTCAATCTTCAAAGCAATATTTATTGGTGATATGATAGATGACATGTTCAACAAACCATAATCAACAATTGATTGTTTAGCAGAATGATCTCAATGGTCTCGATAAGCATCTTCATTACGTCTTCTACATGGCTGAAGAAATGTTTTCTGACGTGCGAAGACAAATCGCCATACACTCTACATCGCTGACATGCTACTCACATACATATACGCACACATACACACATATAAGGCGCGAGAGAGTACACACTCAAAATGTCACAACTGACAAAAACGGGAGATTCCCCATTGGAATTCCCGTCGGTCGTTTATCATACTGGCAAAACCGTCACCGTCACAAACATAGTCAAGCCAAACCCACTCTACACTCGGAGATTGTTGGTCGATGATCTCGGGCACTACTCCCAACGCGCTAGGCTTAACTCGAAGAAGTGACGTTCTTTGAGCCGTCCCCGACTGTATACCCCTCGCGACCCAAATCCTAAGCTCAACACTATTTTTAGCAAAACATCGAAAACTACATAACAGCTGTCGTGCGAAGACGTATCGCCATACACTCTACATCGCTAACATGCTACTCACATACATATAAGCACATATACACACATATAAGGCGCGAGAGAGTACACATTCAAAATGTCACAACTTGCCCCCCTAGCTGGCGGTCAGGTCCCTCTGACTCCCATGTAGCACTATCTACAACTACATGCTATACACCTTCGTGGGTGAACGAACCAGTAGGCCGGGTGCTACGTCGCTCCATCGTTAGTCGCCTATCTGCAATTCATAACATGTGAAGATCAAGTCATATATCCCTCTGAAGTACATCGAGGACAAACCCATCGTCCAGCTGGAATAAAATCGATAGGCGGAGTTAGACACGACATGTTCCATCCTCTAGAGCACCTATCACACACCAACATACGGGCCGCCTGACCAGCTGACCCACACAACATGCACCTCAAGCCAGCACGTACTATCGCTAAGCTTGGATCCATAGTGCCATCTACGTTTGGGAGGTGGCATGGCGCACAATTGCGCACATGATCCTTCCAAACAACGCCGTCACGACCCTCCAACAGGAGAATTCTAGAAGGTAACACCTCCCGCACTCGCAAGATTGTGCGTCCCGCCGTCACATCCAATGTCGTCGGTGCAGTCTGCTGTAGATAGACGTAGTCTCCCACATGGAATCTACGATGGTCGATAACCTCCTCCCCGAATGGTTGCATATTGCAACGTATTTCTATGTTGAGCAATCGCAAGATTCTCAAACGCTGCAGGCATAATTCTTTGAAAGAGCTCTGCACGCTGAAAACATACTCTCATCCACATATTCGGGTCATCAAGGTTCACCACCTCGCTAGACTCACGACGAATCGATGTTGGCAAGTCTGGATCTCGGCCGTACAATAGAAAATATGGTGAGAAGGAAGCCAAGGATGCTTGACGACTGAACCGGTATCCCATGGCCAACCACAGTAGCTGGATATCCCAGTCCCCAAGATGACCTTTCTGTTTGCCATACTTGCGCAACGCCCTCTTCACCGTCTTTACAACACGTTCAGCCAAACCATCCGCCTCTTAATGATCTCGCGACGTGGTCCGATGATCAATCAGCGCCTTGTCACACAAGACCTGAAACTTCGTTCTGTAAGACCAGATATTGCATGTGTGAAATAAAACTAGAATTAGCCAAGGAGTTAATCATGGTTAAGATAGTTATGACTAAATCTAGTTAGTTATGACTAAGTCTAGCTAGTTTAGCTATAATGTCTATACTTGGCGGAATAACTAGAGAAGTTCTAGAAGATTTGAGTGAGCACTTCTATTTTGTCTTGTACAAAAGTCGAGATTCCAAGAGAAAATACTTTTGAACTTCATGTTTAGTTTTGATTGGTTTGACTAAAGTAAGGAGTATTCCATTGGTTAGACTAAGTCTAATGTTGACTGTAACCATCTTTAGTTAGTTAGAACTAAAGTAGAGGTTACTCTAAATATTGATGTAGATACTTTAGTGTGCACTAGTCATAGCTGCCACGTCAGCGATCCGCGCACTTGGTAGGTACAGAGTGGATGTGTTAGTTGACAGTGCCACGTCAGCAATCCGTGTGCTCGTAGGTGAGGATTGAATGTGTTAGTTAGTGTGTTAGTTGGGTGCGCCACGTCAGCGATCCGTGTGCTTGTTACGGTTATCCGCCACGTCATCCATCCACTAGGAGTGGGATGGATGGTGGGGATTAGATCATATCACCTTGTACTTGTTGGTGAGAGCTATATAAAGGAGAGGAGAACCATTGTTGGTATCTCTCATCTTCAGAGTTTACGTTTCTATCTTCGAGTGAACTTCTCTCTAAACCCTAGTGTTACAATGGTATCAGAGCGACCTTGCTCTTTCCTTGAGTGTGGATTACCCCTCATGGAATAGCAAGTGAGTGATGATGGAGTGTAGTCTTGAGAGTGTATAGAGGCTGGCAGAGGTCATTCATCTGCATGT